ATTCAAAGAGCGTCGTGAATTTGCCATGGTTTCATTCATAAACGTTATCATCTCGCAGAGAATTGATTCAATGGATTTCTTATCAAAATTAATCTTTTGCAATCACCATGGCATTTGCGACACAGACATTTATTTTCTACAAATAATAATTACGAATTATGCCAAATTTGGACTTGTCAACCAAATGATGACTATGAACAATAAACATTGCGATACCCTTGACCAGGCATACCAAAAGTACCGCCTCATGACAGTATTCCAACGGCTGTCGCTTTCTTTTTCCTACGACAGCCTTGAGATTGAGCTATAAGCGACAGCCCACAGTGAGGCTTTTATACGACATGCAACGTTGCCGTCTTGTGCTGTTCACGACAGCTTGTTCTTAGTCATGTATTTTGTTCGTTCGGCTATGACAGCCTCGGATGGTCATTCGTAACTTTCCTCGTACATACAACAAGCAGTCCGTCAAACTGCCGATTCGTTGCTGCTGTCTTTGAAATTTTGTTTGTATGTCGTAAAACTGCTACTACACTACCAGTGTGGCGCCGGAGCTCGTTCGGTTGCTATCACGTTCGTGCTACCCATTGCAAAATTTTCATCCGATATATTTTTTTTAAACGCACGGTCTCCGGCGAAAAATATAAGCCTACCCGACACCAACCTGATTTCTACCAAACCCCAACCCGATGTTGGCCCGACATTGACCTGACATAAACACAGAATTGACCCGACATCGACCCGACATTTGGCCGACGTCGACCATAAAATGACCTTACATTGATCCGACATCGGGCCGACATATCTGTTCGGGATCATTCTTCTGGGTTTCTTCCATACTCCACTGCCGTATATCAATTGTATATAATGTCTCGTGACAGCCTTTTCGTGACAGCCACTTGGGTAAGCTGAGGGATGTCGTCGGTTTGTGAAGGCTGTTATGACGACAGAAACATTGAGAACCTGGTCATAAAGAAATGCATAAATACAGCCCATTCGGTTCACTACGTTCCAAGCACGATGATTTTAGCAAAGCGGGTATAGATGCGACTGTTCTAATACAGCTTTCATTCGTTCGTGCGTGCGCTTTTACCAATACACTTCGAATTCAGATCTGAACGTACGGTAGCAAGCGGTAGTAAAGCACACAAAGCATCAGTCAATTCAGGTATAAACCAACTGTCGCGAGGAGGCCTTGACTTTACAATGTCCAAAACCAAACTAAAACAATATTTCCGTGTGTAACGTTAAGAGAACCATTTATTTAAAACTATTTATATGCTCATACATACACCCAACCGAGGGATGTAAGATTCGTTTACAATTATGTGGGATTCATCATCAGAGGATGGAGACCGCATGAACCGAGGATGCGATATACTTAGCTGCGGTCCAATGCAAGAAAATTGGAGACCGAAAAATGTAGAGTGTATTAGTGAGATAAATTAGTTATGTCGAAAAAAATAGGAATCCGATTGCCAACTGGACTCGAACCACGAACGCTTCGATTATCAGACCTGTGCTTTCTCCACTGCTCTCTCCAAGCTCCTGAATATGGATAGCCTAAAAGCAAACATGAAGCGCTCATTTTCTCGCATACTTGACTTCGTATGCTTTTTCTGCTGGAGAGATTCGAGGCAAGTGTGTGCGTCGTTCTACAATGTTCTACAATGTGCGTCGTTCTACAAGCTTACTGGTATAGTCGAAAGCGTAGATAGAACACGAAATGAAAAAGACAAAAAACCATTACATCGCCTGTAAGGTCAATTTCTAACATTCGTTGCGATGTTCATGAACAGAGGATGATAGGAAACGGAACTAACATTCATTGTAATAGATTTTTGGTTTGCGTGTACCAACTTGACAAGATCAGAAATACCGAAGTCATTTCAGTTCTAAGCTTTACTTCCATTTATATAAGAGGTTGGCGGTTACCAAATCGATGTAATAAGAAACTCCGAAGTTATGTCAGTTTGAAACTTTACTTCCATTGATATGAGTGAGGTGGGCGTAGAAGGGTGTTGTAAGTCCCCCTCCTCTCTATCTACGCATATGAAATAAATCTATTGTTTTTGAATAATTCATCTGAACACACAGCGTTGCCAGTATTCCAGATTATCTGGATTTTCCAGATTTTTAATCGTTTTGCCAGATACACAGACACACCACGTATATCTCCAGATTTTTTAATATGTTCCAGATTTTAGCAGATTTTTTAAACATGTTGCTTTAAAATATCACTGCAATTGATTTACCATATAATCAAAAAATAAAATGCCAAACTTACTACTTTAATTATTAAAGTCCATCAACGTTGGAAATTATTGAAATTTATGGTGATTCTGAAAATAGTTCACAGTGAAGTGTAAGGTTAATTCCTTGTGAAATCAAACGAGAATTTCAAGCTTATTCTGAGTAGAGTTCCATCCATCTTTGTGGGCTTCGTGGTCGTGTGACTTTACCGTCGTTCAGGCGTATTGTGAGTGCCACGAAGTAAGAGTCCGATTCCCGCTCCAACCGCTACAAATTTTGACACCTTGAAAATTTTCCTACTGGTCTACTGGGTGTGGTGTGTTGTTCGTGTTAAATATACAGTGTGTGCAACCTCTGGTTGAAGCCGGTGTCAATTGTCTTGTCAACGCTGATGACAATTGCATGAAGATTCTGTGAATAAAAGAAATACAATCCGGAAGAGAAATCATAGAAAATACTTATGATGAAACATAAGGAGAATGCTGATACGAATTGTGAGAATAATTTCAAATGAATTCTGTCCAATGTTTCCATGTAGATTAATTTTAATAAAAATTAAAGACATTTAAACGGAATTATGCGCAATTTCTTTGAGACTTTCAAAACCATTTTGGCAAAGTACTTGAGATTTCAACACAATTCTAACCCACAAAGCAGTTCAAAGGAAATTATCGGATGAGTCTGAAAAGAGCGTGACGATCATTCTGAAGAATGTACCAAGGAAATTATGAAGAATATTTTAAGAATTTATAAGAGATTACAAGAGGTAATGCTAGGAGCTCTTAAAATGTTACTGGAAAAGTTTGGATATTATCTAGATTATTTTAGGGGAATATAGAAAAGAAGTATGGTGGAATTTTAGAATGAATCAAATGGAACTAAAAAGAGGGCGAACAAATCCTGTGAAGAGTTCCAAGTAAATTCAGATTGACCAAAAATGTCATAATCTTGGACCCAGGAAAAATAGAATCATTTCAAGATCCTGAGTTTAAAAAATGACATTTTAATAATATAATAAAATTATTCTTTGACGTAACATTATTCGTAATGGTCATGCGAATAGTGGAGTAACCCATAGTTTAGGCAAACTGTGTGTGAGTATCACGATGTTAGACTTTGTTCCCACTTCAGCCAGGTGAATTTTGCTTCAAAATAAAATTGCCTACTGGTCTACTGGGTGATGTGTGTAGTATGATGTCAAGAATTAAATTTTAAATCTGATGAACCTCAGGGTAATATTAGAATTATTTAAAACTAATAAAATGTTTAAATTCTGGTACTGCATCAAATAGTAAGGACTACATCGATTATTAGTTTAAAAAAATCCATCCCATCAAATTTGCTTGATTCTTTGCTTCTCATTCTTTAAAAAAAAAAACAGTTCTAAACATATTTCATGCACATTTAACTCAGTTTTTGAAATTCTGCGTAATGGATTTTTAAACTTTTTGGGCATACTGTGTTTATATTTTTTTAAGTTTTTGTATGATTTAAGCAATGCTAACAAGTTATTTGCTTTATATAGTTTACTTAAACATGTAATTATTAACATTCTAGTACTTTAAATAAATTCCAGATGATCATACTGACCGATTTTTACGGGAGATTGGCACATCACCTTGATTTCAATAGCATTAAGTTAAAAAGCAGTTGAAGCATTCCAGATTTTTCCAGATTTTATATTTTAACTGGTCCAGATTTTTTCTGAAAATGACCTAGCAATGCTGTGAACATACCAAAACGATAAGATAATCGTTTCCGAAATTAATTCAGTTTGAAATCTGACTTTCATTGGTACACCAATTGGCAGTGTTGACAGGATAAGTGATTTTTGGCATTAAATTCGAAACATCGATTTTGAACAGCTATAACTTTTTCAGAGCTATTCTAGCACCGTACATCCTTTGGCAAAGTTATTAGGCACTTCCTGGACTATACTTTAACATGAATAGGAATGAAAATGCAAAAAAAAGGTTTTCTCATACAAATTTCAAACGCAATGCGGAAAGCTGGGTTACAACCAATCGTCCCCAAATTTTGCACAGTTGTTTGGGACCCTAAATAGAACCAAAATGTTAACGTATTGCCACCTTTGCTCAAGTTATTTGAACTTCATGTTGAATTTACTACAGGAAAATCAAACACTTTATACATTGTCATCCAGCCTTTTACCATACATAACTTTTCTCATGCACACTTGCATGTCATGTTCTCAATGTACTCAGTATGTAAATAAAAATAGCTTGACTATAAGCTGATAAATGTAAGAGAAGGAAAGAATTCGGCACATCATTCCGGATAAAAATCAAATTTATGTTTATGAAGATAATAATTTCATTCCAGAATAAATCTTGGATTGCTATCAACAAACCCCTTCCACATACCGTTCCGATTCAAATTTTGGACGATTCAAATTTCGGACACTTTCATTTTTAATTAAATATTACATCCAGTTAGAAACAAAGTAATAATGTTAGATGATCGTGGAGGGCACTAGTCAAAAAAATTTAAAATTTACAAGACATGTGGATCATATTCGACCGAGATAATCAACTTTTAAAAGTGTCCGAAATTCGAGTTTAAGTGTCCGAAATTTGAATCGGCACGGTACTTTCTGATGACGATTCAAATCGAATCAATGGTATTTTCTAGCAAACCTGAATCGTCCACTTACGTACGCAGCAAATTTGAAATCTTGGCAAGTGACATGAAAATAAACATAGTAAAAACGGAAATAAACCAACACTCACCTGTGGAAAATGCTGATTTTTAGAGAGCGATGCGATGATGGCGCGAATCACACGTAATGGAAGCGCTAACGGCTTCGGCAAAAAATCAAATTGACAAAAAATTGAATTTACGACATTTTTAGCATGCCTCACGTCGACTCCACATATTTTGTTCACCGGAGCTGGGGTCTCACTCTTCTCCTGTTGCAGTATGATAAATTTATTTTCGCTTACGTCTATGAAATTTTGATCATGCCGCAGACTTCTTCACGCGGTATTGAGCATCACAGGCTGATGAAAGATTTGCGATTTGCAATGTCGACGATGTAACACACGCACAACGTTTTAGGAACAACACCAAACGACGCGGAAAATTCCTTTTTATCGCTCAACAGTACAGGAACAATCACTAGAAGCGAGCAACGACAAACACACGATGTCAGAACGTGCTTAAATTTCTTCTCTTCCACTTGACGAGCTTCCGAACTGTCACTGACTACAGGCGCTTCTTCTCCAGTTTCCGGAATTGCCAACAAGCTGAAGCTATAGCGCATCAAAACATACCGAGTACAAGGAAGCAGATTACAGAGGAATTCAAAATTATGTATAATCCTCCTATCACATCAATATCGACAGTTTTTTCTCTTCTCCTGCATCTCATGAATTATAATGACGCTATCCTGGGCAGATCTATCGCCATCATCGTTGACATGAAGTTACATAACATTCAAGTTCGTTTTCCGCAAATCTGAAACGAGAAGAAGCGCACAAGAAAATAAGTCACAAAAAAGCTATATTAATTTTCAAAGAAAATTGAGTTGCGATAAGAATCTTTGTAGGCAAATCGAATGTTCTGCTGTGTTCTTTCCAATTTTGTATGATATTTTAGCAGAAAATGAAAGCGCTAACAACTGATGGTGTCATCGAACATTCCCAAAACTGGCAAAAATATGGTAAATTATCAAATCTATGCTTTCCCTTGAATACACTCAGTTCATTTATATTCCGGAGGATGTAGCTTGGAATCATGAACGAATTCGATACAACAACATGCAAATGATAATCAGTTCAACGAGGTGTAACATTATACACAGCACCGTGGATGTTTAGATTAAAGTACCGTGAACCGTGGCTGGTTCGCAAGACATCGAATTATAATTATGAATGCTATAGATAACGGTCCGTATAAATGCGCCACACCAATACATCCATGTTTAGTGAGATTTATACTCATTCAAGAAGCCGATGGTCATATACAAGGTTAAACACAATATTCCTCATTGACAGAAAGGATGGAACGTATACAATCATTTAATGTAAAATAAAAATTACAGATCTGAAATAAATAAATATGATATTCAACGTAAGATACGTTTGATTGCGCTGAATTTCGAGACTTTTATGATTAAATGTTGTGCCAACCGTACCATTTGTATATTTCAGCCCCAGAGCACCTCAATTTGCATGAGTGTTTCGTGCTCTAAGACTCTGGGGTAGACTTCCCCAGTGCCAAGTACTCAGTATGCATACAAAGAAAGAAAAAATCAACCCACTCCAAAACCTCCTCATGTGGGAATACATTAGGAGGATAGATGTATACATCAAATTAAAAGAAATTGGATCAATTATGTTAAGCCCTTGTGTCACATGAGAAAACAAAATGTATCAATAAATGTTATCCCACGATCGCGGATACAGTAGTCGACATATTTTCTGTGATAATCCGTAGCCTTTCCTCCTTACTCTCGCAGCTTTAAACATGAAACTAAAATGCTTATGATATGGCTATCAAACGGTTGTGCCACCGGTTGTCTTCTCATTATGAAAGCAGCACATGCCGTGCTTCTGACAATTCTCAATATAATATGCAACTATAACCGAGTGGAAACATTTCTGATCAGAAATTGTTGAAATATAGAAATAAGTGATGTTTAACGCACACACACTAGCGTAGAAATAATAATGTAGGGGAAACGGATGTAATATCGGCCTAAATGCCCCTAATTTGGGCCCATACATAAATTTAGCAATCGACTAAATTTTCAATAGCGACCAAAAATCCATAAGTACTGTGTCAATGACGCGTTCATCTAGGTAAAATTGATAAATAGCAGCTTTTTAGCGATTAGCCCAATCTTATATCCATATCATTTCGGTATCACAGAAAGTTCGGTCATCATAACGGTGAAACTGTGGTCAATGAAATTCGGCAGCAATTCCATATTTCAGCACTTCGAACAGTGGTGCGCACAGTGCACAGCTAAAAAAAAGTAGTGTAAATTTCCGTTACTATGATGCACATAAATGGAGCGTCATAAATCATACAAATTTACATTATAAATCGTGTAAATTTATGAGACATGTCATGCAATATTCCATATATTGTATGCAAATTTCCACCTTTGTTTGCAACATTTCTTGCAAGCTGCTAGTTTACGTGAAAAGGAAGTTTACATGCATGAATGTTTGCATGCATGGATGTTTACATCACCAGTAAAATTCAGATTTTTTTAGCGTGTGGCAAAGCGTTGTCAGTGGTGCGTAGTCTACAAAGCGAGTCCAGATGTGCCTAAGATGGCACCTCTTCCTCAAGCACGGGTGACGCCGTTCGTCCGGCCATTTTCGTTGGTTGGAATTGACTATTTCGGGCCGTACATGATCAATATCGGCCGAAGCCAGGTCAAACGCTGGGTAGCACTCTTTACGTGCCTGCACACTTAAAAATAACTAATTTTACACGAGACGTAATCCATCCTTGACGTAAATTATGGAACGTAAACAAACATGTCATGTAAAATTAAGTGTTCTCAAACCGAAACATACGCAAATCGACGAAAAGTACGATTGATTGAATTTATTTTCTCGTTTCTTTCAACTGATTCTTATGTCATTTAGGCCGCTCGCATGTGTCGGTCTCAGGGCACGGAAATTTACATGACTTTTTGGTAGTGTGTGGTGATAAGGGCTGTGCATTTGGAAGTAACAGTGTCAATGTCAACCGAATCTTGCAAGCTAGCGTTGCGGCACTTCATTGCACGCCGTGGAGCGCCGGCGGAAATTTACACAGACCATGGAACAAACTTCGTTGGCGTCAGCCCAGAGTTGGCTGGTCAAGTTGCTGCAATGAACCGTGAACTGTCGCAGACCTTCACTAATACCAACACACGATGGTTCTTCATCCCACCATCATCTCCACACATGGGTGGTGCATGGGAAAGGATGGTACGAGCAGTCAAAGCTGCTATGGAATCTATCAACCATTCCCGGGCACCATCAATGGTCAACTCTAGGCCGTTGACGTATATGCCTCTGGAAACGTCGCACCAAGAGGCATTGACTCCGAATCATTTCATTCTCCTCAGCTCAAATGGGGTCAAACAGACGGAGAAAGCGACAACTACAGAAGGTGAGGCACTGCGAAATGGATGGAATCTTTGTCGTTATCTTCTGGATCAATTCTGGACAAGGTGGATCCGGGAATATCTCCCGGTCCTAACAATGCGTAACAAATGGCACCAGGAAGTGAAACCCATACAGGAGGGAGATGTTGTGTTCATCGTTGATGAAGCAATCCGGAATCGATGGGTTAGAGGAAAGGTTGTAAAGGTCATTCCGGGGAAAGATGGTCGCATCCGGCAGGCAGATGTTCAGACTACTACAGGAGTTCTACGTCGTTCCGGGGCAAAGCTTGCTGTGCTCAACGTACTCCCAAGTCCCAATAGGTAATCCTGATGAACCAGAGCAGCATTACGGGGAGGGGAATGTTGCGGGAGACGTTACGATCGTTAGCGGTATGAAGGAATCTACCGTAGGGATGCTGGATCAGATTTGATTAATGATAACTACTGTGGTGTGATTGATGATAAGACAGAATGTCATGGAAAGTAGAAGAGAGAAAAAACTGTGATTGTATGCAGGCAGTCAGCAGAATTATTCTATGCTATTTAAAAAGTTAAGATTAACGTGAATTGAAACTAAAATTAAAGTGTTAGCCTATCCTAATAGTAGTTGAAGTGCTGAATTTTACATTGTGTAAGTTAAAGAATGAATAAAATTAATATTTCCTACTAAATACTTAAGGTGACATAAACATTACAATTTTTAGGTTAGTCACGCATGCATTGTTTATATTGGATTAACACTAAAACTTACTGCTACGCTACGATATGTGAGTAAATCTAAAACCTTATTGCCTAGCTTAATACTAAGGTATTAAAACCAACTTATTCTAGGTAAAGTGACAAAGAAAGAGTGCAGTTATCACAGGCTAAGTAGGCATAGAATCTAAGAGTAGATTTACTGAATTGTGAGTAAACATTCGATAAATATCATTAGAGCTAATCAGTTGAAACAAATTTATATTTAAGCTTTGAAGCATTTTCAAATAAACGGATTGCTAAAAGAACCGTGAAAAGAACTCTGCGCCTAGTGCTGTGCCAACAATAACATTGATAGTTTTTTGCAGTATATTCTACAATATTTGTTACAGCAATGAATATTTTTATATATATTATTATATTTTTTTCAAACGAGTACTGATGATCCAAGAGTAAATTCATTTGTAATATGTTTAACGGAAATTATTGCAGTTGCCCTATTTTTGTAGTCTTGTGACCAAACATCAGTATTTTGATTTGGGGTTTATTTGATAATGCTCGATTAATGTAGAAAAACCTGCGTTAAAGAAATGTGAAACTTTGAATGAGTAGGGGAAATGGATGTAATGTCGGCTTAAATGCCCCTAATTTGGACCCATACATAAATTTAGCAATCGACTAAATTTTCAATAGCGAACAAAAATATCCATTAGTACGGTCCCAATGACGCGTTCATCTAGATAAATTTAATAAATAGCAGATTTTTAGCGATGGGCCCAATCTTAGATCCATAGGCCAACATTAAAGCCATTTTCCCTGTATAGCCAAAAAACAATATGAATAATACAATAAGTGATTTCTGAGTTGAAGGTGTAAACGTTAAATCCAACATAAGTATTTTTAACTAGTTATCGTTATTCGCAAAATGTCTCAAGTGCTATTGGAGTTGTACGTACATTGGACTCAACTTGTATCTTGAAATTACATGTAACTCAAATGTTTGGTTCGTTCACGTTGGGGGTTTGAAAATAACATATTTTAGAACAAAAATTGTTTTATCTTTTCAACAGAATGATATTTCAACAAAGTTACTTCACCTAAAACATGCACCTTTAAAACTTCTAAAAATGTTTAGATCTAATAATTTGTTAAAATCAATTTTCAATTCCTAGAAAGTATTCGTAAAACTAACTAAATTTTTAGGTTTCACCCTAAGATAACTTTTTAAACCCAGTAAGTATCAATCAAGAACCAATAGACATAGAAATTTAGAAGGGCCACCTTAATTTTACTTACGTCAAAATATTGGTCAAAACATATATTTAATAAAATCTGCGAGACACCATTTACCTAAAGCTAATGGTTTAAGTGCAAACATTTTTGTCTTGCTAATTATCGTGGTATTTCGCTTCTATGCTGCATTAGCAAGGCTATCGAAACCCTAGTGCACGGAGCACTTTACAGTGTTGTTCAGCCTTTAATATCGGAGTATCAACATGGGTTTGTTCAACCTCGTTCTACATCCACGAATCTGATGTGCTATACCAACACACTGTTCCGCGAGGTCGAACTTCGCAATCAGGTTGACTCGGTCTACATTGATTTTTCAAAAGCGTTTGACGCGGTACCACACGCGCGTGCTTGTGAAAAA